CATAAAATAAAGATTGAAGATGCTACAAACTCAATTGGAGGCATTCGAAAGCTAAAGGAACCAAATCACAAGTGAAAATGATCAATAAAATATTCCAAAAAGTTCAAGGAGCAATTTTCAAAATTGGCCTCAAAATGTGAAGATATGCGAACGCATAGGCCTGTAGCCCATGCATACGCGAGATCCCATGATGGGCCGACTGAAGTTAAAATCATTCTACTATGCATACGTATAGCTTTTCGACTATGAAAAATTTTCTTTCATTTTTCTTGTTTCAGTAAATTTTACTATGATATCTTTGCACCTCTTATGAATTGGAATCCGTCCAAAACGTAGAGAACCTCTCGACCTTAAAAAAAAATCATAAATTCTAATCAATTTTGGAGGTGAAGGACGAGGCTAACAATGTGAAATGAAGGCGAATTGCATAAAATACTAAAGTTTTTTCATCCGAATTCAAGATTAACATCAAGACGTGGAAAACTCCTAATTCTTCATTATTTCTTCTTTCCGAGTGATGATTTTTCAATTGTTCTTTTCTAATTTATGTCCATACATGTTAGGCTAGTTTTTTTCATTTGTATTGGATGAGTATTTAAACCCTATTTTCATTTATATCAATTCGAGAAGTTAATTTAGGAAATTCTTGTGTTTTTTTATTGATTTTACATACTCATTGCACTATTTGGTTGTTTGGCCATCAATTGAATATTTAGTTACTTGTTGTAATGTAAGAATATTCACAAAAGTCTAGAACGTGATTTAAGCAACATATGTAGTTAGAATTAAGAATAATATCTTTCACACATGCAATATTATTTGATAATATAAACTAAATGCATAATTTTTATATGAATTATTACTAGGTATAAGATCATCTTGTGTTAATCATAGGTTGGTGTATCTTGAAAAATATCATGTAACATATCAACTTTATCGATTTTCAAAATGCATGAATTGAATAGATTAATTATTGAGAATTAAAATAGATGGAAATAGGGGAATACATTAATCCAATACAAACATTCACATTAGATTTAATTACTTTTTATCGCTTTTTTAAAATAGAATTAGAATAAATAACAAACAAATCATAACTCTTTTGATGTCACCATACTTCGAAATTAATAGTAGCTATTGAACTATAAATTAAACCTTACTCCTCGTAGGAACGATAATCTTAACTCATAAATCTTATTACTTGTACAACGATCGTACACTTACAGATTTCACGTGAACAGTAGCGGTCAAGAAGTGCATCATCCACCAAGGAAAGCCGTCCATCACTATAGTTATCTCAATGATTTGAACTTTGGGGTAGCCGAAAGGAACCCCCAGCATGGAGCATTTGGTAAACGGGTTTTATCCTCACGGTCAAAACTATGCTAAGTATGGTGCCAACACCGCAAAGTCCGGCCAAAAGAAGGAAGGTGAGTCTAAAACAATTTGGACCTAAGCAAGAAACAGCATGCTGTTTTGATGCCTCATTATCATATAGAATGCCCGCAAGGAGACCCGAGAATAGGTATGCACCGAGTGGATTGCCGAGTGACATAAAATTGAAAATCATACCAAAATTCTTAAGGCCAAATAGCTCCGAGGCTGTTGGGACCATGATAGAAAATTGAACACCATAGCAGATTCCCAGCAACGCAGTTGCGGCATAAAGAGTGCCATTAAGAGCTGAAGCAAAAAGAAGATATGCAATTATCATTATAACTTGTGTAACTGTCATCCAAACTGTCCTAGGGATCGTTTTTGATCTGCAAATAAGATAGTACCACAAATCAGATCAAACTGAAAAAAATAAATGACATTTTCTAAGGAATTTGTGATTATTCCTGATACATAAGCAATAGGATAATCTTAAAACATGCAAATACAAACCTGACAAAATATTCAGAAACGACACCTCCCCCAAGGCGACCCACAAAATTGAAGAAGCTGAAGAGGGATAACAGGATCTTTGTATCATGCATATATTGAGCTATTCCAATCTGAGCCAGGTTATTGAGAACGGTAACACCAGAGCCAACCCCGACAAAGTAGACCAAGAACAGAAGCCAGAAATCAGCTTTGATCATAGCTTCAGCAAATGTAAAATCATCCCCTCTTCTAGGTCTCCTCTTTTTCTTTATTGCGCCTTCTCCTTCCGCAATAAGTATATTTACTTCAGACATGCTGTCACTTTCGTGAAAACTTCCTAGGTTTGCAGATGATGAAGATGGTGTCAAAAGCGGTTCTATTTTGTCTGCATTTCCATTGTCTTGGTCAGAAGTTTTTGCTGGTCCAACAATTTGGACATGAGTAGCGGATTTGCTGCTACTGGAGGGGTACAAAGTCATCTTCACAGGGATGGCAAGTGGAGCCATTAGAAAGAGGACCATAAGAGCAAGAAAACAATAGGAAATGGGAGCACTTAAAGAGAGCACATCGTCCAAAACAGTAGTTGTAAGAACATATATACCAAGCAAGACACTAGAAGCTTGAATGAACAGAAAATGGCAATTTTCCGAAGTATCATCACCAGAAGCTGGAGTACACGGCCTAACAAAATACATCATAATAAGACAGAGAGTAGGAATCCCAAGTGCGAGGAATAGCATGAGTTTAGAAGAAGAATTTTTAAGTAATATGCTAAAAATCTCTGTATATACAGCAGCACTAAGTCCTCCATAGCCCTTAATAATACCAGCGACTGTGCCTCGACTAAGAGGGAAGTTTCTCATATTAGTCACAAGTACTGCAGTGCTGAACCAAGCATTGCTATTTGTTGCAATACATAAAGCAACCCATAACTGCAAGAGAACAGACATATATGGTTACTGCCTGGAAAAGAAAGGACTACACGTGTCAAATAATACACCACAACAGGAGGATCAATCCAATTATTTAGATGTTCCAAGCACGAAATCTTCTCTTGAAGCAGGTAGAACCTCAAATTTCATGAAGATGAAGAAATATTTTATTTATCCTTCTTCATCGAGTCTTTGTTTGGGGTGAAGGGGTCTATAGTATAGCTATCGTACACAGACTACAGCTATTGTTTCCAATGAGTTCAGTTCATGAACAGATATTCTCACACTGCACAAATCAGATGGAGAAAGTGCTTGCAGAATCGCAATCCAACTGAGCTTGAATGCATCAATAAAACAGAAATTGAAAACAAGAATCAAGTTTACTCTTCGATAAATATATTCTTTTATTTTTAGTTTATACCCAACATATATTGCTCTTTAACTAGTGAAAATCGAAATTATTTGCACCAGAAATATGCTTTATTAAATGCTGCACAAGGCTTAAAATGGATAATCTCCTTGCCTTGAAAAGTTTTATCACCCAGCCAGCTTTCAATTACTATCTAATCTATGTTATACCAGTATTACAGCTATCTTTGGCAGTAAAAGCCGAATGAACTTCAACCAGCAATCACCAGTAAAAGAAATCCAAAATGCAGGACCTAATCGAAAAGCTCAATCCCCTTCCTAATCCATTACACATGTCATCATCACTAGTTTCGAAATTAGTCCAGTTTTGTTGTTTGGGCATAAGATTGGCCACTTCCATCACTGCAAGGAACTGCGACGGCGACGATGACATCTCAGGAAGCTATTACAACCAATAAATTAAACTACACATCGCTTAACGTTTCCATATACAACTGAATAGTGGATTTCTAATTTCCAAAACATTAGACAATAACACATAAAACAGATCCAAATTGAGTAATAAATTATAAAAAGAATCAAATTCAAAACCAATAATTACATACAATCATCAATCCAAACAACGAAATTCAAAGAACAGATCTTTATAACAAAACCCAGTAAGCAAAACTAAAAAAATACAAGAACAGATATTTTACCAGCCAATAAGGCAAATCAAGAACAGTACGGCTAATGGCAAGCCAAAGAACCCCATAACCCAAGAAACATGCAAAAGCACCAATCAAAAGAATCACCCATGGTGGGAACTTGTTGCATATAAGTCCAGGGACTATGCCGACATTTTCACCAATATCATTAGCCACCCCAAGCATTGTGAGCTGCCTTTGGTTGAAACCCAGAACTGATTTTAATGAATGAGAGTAGAGTGGAAAATTAGATGCATTTCCAGCTGCTATTTGCATCCAAACAGATGCTCCAAGTCCAACCCATGGAGGCCTACTCCCTCTTTTCACAGTCACCATTTTTGAAATCGCAAAGATTCAAATTTGGGAAATACAAGAAACACAAGTTTAAGCATGGAGTGGGGTGGGGTGGGTGACGGTGGGGTTCCAGATTGTTATGATCAAGGAGATTTTAATAAGCTGAGAAAAGGTTAGGTGTTTTGTTCGTACCTTTCTTGATTCACGCCTTCACGAGGAAGTGGGGTTTGTGTGGGGCGGATTGTGTACAAATGAACGGACTAGATTGCGTTCAATGTTCTGAAAGCGAGCTTTGGTCAGATGTATCTTGGAATTTGCTTGATACGTCAAAAAGGGAG